GAGCTGGTGGTGATGGCTGTGGAGCGGGCAAAAAGCTTGACAGGAATGGTGGTTTTGACACGTCGGACCAAGGGGACTGTGACCCGGGGTCGCTTCACGGGGACTGCCCGGGGCACTGGCACAGGTGAAAGGCGGCCCCGATAGTCGAAGAGCCTGTGAGGGCAAATGGGCCAGAGGCTGCAGCATGGCCTGTGGCCACCAGGTGGCACTGTGACTCTAGACCAATACATGTCTAGTTGATTAACGGCTGGGCAGCCTGCACTACGCATCTCTGCCGGCTCCCAACAAGCCCTAGGGGGTAAATAGGAAGGCCTTTCCTGACCCTAATAGCTGCTAGGATCCTCACTACATCCATCTTTCCTACCAGCCAGGCCAAGTAAGGAGAGAGGATTTGGCTTGTGATAATGGTTACAGTCCCATTCAACAGAGGAGTAAACTGAGACCAGCCCCAGAAAGGAGCCTTCCCTAGATCACCCAGACACCTAGGCCTGCTCTATTACTGGACCTGGCTTCTGCTCAGTCCAACTGCCACCCCAATCTCTGGAAAGAGCTTGCAATCTCTCTAAAGCCACACAAACCCCCAACTGAGAAAAGAGAGCTTTGGGTGTAGGGGTAAATCCCTAAGCCTGCCTGAGCCTCAGTTTTCCCATCTGCCTAATGAGGATGGCTACCCCAAATTCTGTGCTCCACCTCAAGGTCACTATGAGGGTAGACCATGAGAGAACTTGGTTAAAAAAACTTGGTTAGGTGTGATAGGTGAAAGGTCAGGGTACTGAGACACTCAGCTCAGGGGCCTAAGACATCAGAGGCACGAGGCTGGAATCCAAGACCCTTTCCTCATTCTGGGCCCCCTTAATCACTCCATCCTTCTTACTTTCTTTAGAGATGAAAGGCAAGAGGCCCCCCAACTATCAAGGTTAGGCAACTCGAGCAGACCCCTGGGCTCCCAGACTGTATGCTGCCCCCTCAACACTATCACCCAGCCCCCTCCAGAGGGGGCTTCTTTTCCTGCTGATCAGGCAGCAGCTCCGTGGGCTCAGTAGGGCTCACCACATCTACTGCTACTACCTTTCTGCAGGGAACAGCAGCCTGGGGGTACACTGTGGGATCACTTTCCTGATGACAGCCAGGAAACCTACCATCACTGAGCAATTCAATGCCCCAAGCCTTGGCACTCCTTTGTTCAGGGAGCCCCTGCCCTGGGGTGGTGATGGCTGGAGACAGAGAGTCTCTGGTAATGGACCCACTTCCAGACCCTGAATTTCTGCCCCCAAGGGGAGGGGGCGGCTCTGGCCTTGGTCAGAATCACTGAACCACAGAATCCCCGAGCTGGAGGAACCCTGAGGGATCACTTGGTGCATGCCCATTTCATACACAGGGAGGGAATTTGCCCAAAGTCACACAATCCATTCAGTGGCAGAGCTCAGATTAGCACCCAGGTCTTCTGTCTCCCAGGCTAAGGCACTTTATACTACGCTGCACTATCGCCTGAAACCATTCACAGGTGAGAAAACCGAGGCTCAGAGATGTTCTATTCTTCCTGGACAGCCTGGGGCAAGCCAAGCAGGAGTGGGGGAGGAAGATAAGTTTGGGCCAGAACCCACCATGATTTCCACTCAAGAATGTAACTGGTATCATGGAGTGCAGCCCACAGCTTCAAGGGTAGGTGTGGGTAAGCTTGGGGGTGGAGGGTGGGCCACATAGGCTACCAGGAACTAATTCAGACCTCCAAAGGGCTGCTGGCCTCTTGGCTACAAATATAAGGCCAAGAGGCTCAGCCTGAGCTCTGAGGTTCCTTCCAGCTGGCTGGGCACCTCAGAGAGGTACGGAGACTGAACAGCAGAAGCATGACGGCTCAAACTACCTGCACCCAACCCTGCATCCTGTTTAGTATTCCAAACTTGCTACATTTGTATATCCCTCAGCTGTCCAGTTCCATCAAATCCCATACCCCAGGATTACGAGGAGGAAGGGCGGTCAGAGAGTGGGAGACAGTGTGGGGTGGGAGACAGTGTGGGGTGGGAGGAGTGCTGGCCTGGGCACCTGCAGAACTGGACCCTAGTCCTAGCTCTGCCACCAACTTGTGAAGCAGCCTTGGGTAGATGCCTCTCCACACCTCGGCTTCAGTTCCCACTTGGAGGACTGAGTGGGCTGCACCAGCAATTTCTCAGGACCCTTCCAGCTTGGCTGTTTTCATGCCTGGGCACGCCCCTCCCCTGCTCACCTGTCGTAGAAGTCGTCCCGGTAGTAATCATAGTCAAAGCTGTAGCCACTGGGGAAACAAAGGGGAGAGGGCCAGGGCTTAGGGATGGCCACTCAGCCCACTCTCCATAGGCCCTCATCTCCAAATGCCTCCCCAGATTTTATGCTGGGCACACCGTCACGACTAGTATTCACTCCCTCTGTAAAATGAGAGACCAATCCCACCCAGACAGACAAGACAGAGTGCCCCACCTGTATATGGCAGATGCCGCTCTCTTCAACCCCTTGGGCCTGTTGGGCTTGGGCTCTCCAGCCATGTTGATGTCTGTGTGGAGGGAGGAGGCAGAGTCAGACATTGGCAAGACAGCAGGGTGCCCATACACATATCACCCTCATGCGTGTGCACAGCAATTTGTGTTTACATGATGTACACATGGACCTTACTCACTAATACCGCCAACAGAGCAGAAGTCTTCACACGTTAGACTCATACGCACACATCACATGGACGTGCTTATTTACATATTCATATACATTCAGACACACGCATGCTCACTCACAAACATATCACTCTCACACCACGTACATCACACATATATGCATTCTCAAGTACACACATGAGACACACTGTCACACACATGGTCACCCACAGATAATATACTGAAGAACACTCAGACCTGACTCCAACATCATATATAAAACTGCCCATACACAAATTAGCCACTGCCATTTCATGCAAACATTCTACTGAATATCTTTATGCCTAGAACAGCGCTTAGCATAAAATCTCAATAAATATTTGGTAAATAAATATACGCATATTTGCTTACATATTCGAGTATATTCTGACACACATTCTACATATATAGACATTCTAAGGTGTATGTCCACATATCCTCCACATGTTCACTTACATCCACCTACCACATATTCAAGAATACATATATACATATCCCTTCTCAAATAATCACATATATGCAGACATATGTGCACATACACGAACACTATACACGCTCCAAGGTAGAGTACCAGCATAGCTACAACACATGTATATAACACCAAGGGCAAGGGCACCTGCTTCACCTTGTGCTTCCAGACCCTCCTCATGGCCCTCAGAAAGGATTCTAACCTAAGCCATCTGTAGCCCAATGTAATAGGCTGTGCTAGTCCACTCTGTTCCCTTTCTCTGGGGAAACTGCAATTTAAGTGGAACCACAAGGCTTGTCAAGAGTCACTGTGAAAGCAGGGACAGAACAAGGAGTGTTTTCCAGAAGCTTCTAAAATTCTCCCCTACAGGCAGTGATTTTATAACTACAGATCTTCTTCGACTTATGACTTTATCAACCCGATAAAGTTGAAAATATTTACTGAAGGTTGAAAATGTCAACAAACTCATCATAAGCTGAAAACAGTGTAAGTGTAAGTCAAAAATACTTTTAATACATCAAACGTACTGAACATCATAGCTTAAGTTAGCCTACCTTAAACATGCTCAGAGCACTTACATTAGCCTACAGTTGGGCAAAATCATCTAACACAACACCTACTTTATAATAAGGTGTTGAATATCTCATGTAATTTATTGAACACTGTACTGAAAGTGAGAAATGGAATGGCTGTATGGGTGCAGAATGGTTGTAAATGTATTAGTTGTTTACTCTTGTGATCACATAGCTGATGGGAAGCTGCGGCTCACTGCCGCTGCCCAGCATCACATGAGAGTATCACACCATCACACTGTTACCCCAAGAAAAGACCAAAATTCTAAGTACAGTTCCTACTGAATGCATATTGCTTTCGCACCATTGTAAAGTTGAAAAACTATAAGTCGAATCATCCTAAGTTGGGGACTGTCTATATTTAAGTTACAACATCTCAGACAGGGGTAGTAGGTAGTAGTGAGGGAAACAGAAAAGGGGCTAAGAGAGAAGCCACAGAGTGAAGGCCAGCACCTGCTCAGGAGAATACCAGGAGTAGGGCCAGGAAGAGACACTTACCCAGGGTTTGCCCGGCCAGCACCCGCCCATTCTCTCCCAGGACAGCTGCCCGGGCATGGCGCTCATTGGCATACTGAACAAAGGCATAGCCTTTGTGCACAGAACAGCCGGCCACACGGCCATACTTGGAAAATATGGTCTCCACATCTGACTTCTTCACCACAGCTGTGTTGAGGTTTCCAATGAAGACCCGAGAGTTGATGGACTTTGGGTCATTCTTGTTGGTTACATTGCTTGTCTGGATCTTCAAAGACATGGTGACCACCTGAAAAGAGAGAGCCACTGTGAGGCTAGACCCCCAGGTTGGGCTCAAGGGCTATCCATGGCCCATATCCTGGCTAAACTGGATTGCTTTGTGCCTTCTCCCACATATACCTCTACAGCATCCAGCCTCCCTGTTTTTACTCATCTTACTAGCTGCTGACCTCATGCCAGGTGGATTACATATGATCCCTCATTTGGTACTGACATGATAAGCAGAACCAGGACATTTTACAAGAAAGGAAATATATATTTAGAGGTCACAATGCTAGTAAATAGCAGAACTTGGATTTGAACCATGGTCTGCTTGACTTCAATTCATTTAAACTCACTCCTTTAATGCTCATCTCAAACATTACCCTATTCAAGATCTAAATTTTAAGATCTTCCACAGCTTTTCTTATCTTCCTTCAATGTGGAGCCATGGCAAAGAGGTCACATGGTAACTGCATGGAATGTTTGCTCTAGAACAATACCCTATTATGAAAATTGCTCAGTCTGATTCAGACATGAACCAAGCTATGGCTGTCTTTATTGATACCAGCCATTTAGAAAAAGGTGAGCTAAATAAGCCTCACTGAGCAGAGCACTCACTGTGGGCTACGGCTGGCATACAATATTGAATAATCCCAAGACCTCATGAGTATTATTACTACCATCCATATCTTACCAGAAAGAGACTCCAAACAAGTTCACTAACTTGCCAGGAACGGGCATTCAAACCCAGGTCAGTTGGTCCTAGAGACCATTTCTTCGACTTTATCACCTTCCTTCCCAGAGCTAAAGCCAATTTAAATACTATAGTAAGTCAGCATATTTATCTGAAAATTGTTTTTAATAAGTTAATTTTTTAGAGTTACCCATTTTTTATACTTACTCAAATTTTGTTCTCTTTGCTTAGAGATGATACTATGTCCACACTTTGCTCTCTACACTCTGGAAACGTCTTTTACCCCAAAGGGCTGTACAAATTGCTCCTACCCCCTTCCCTGGACAGGTTGCATCTGGTCATGTCTCCAGAAGGAACAGAAGAGGAGGCTCAATTTCAGCAGGAAAGGCCTAACAGTAACCCTTGGCATTTATACTTCCTGGCCCAGTCTTCTGCTCATTGGCATGGGTTGGTGCAACTCCCTTTTGGAGCACTCCTGTCTCAATATCCCATCCTAGGGCTATTTCAGAAAGTGCTAAAGACCCCAAACAGTATATATAAAAACTTTTATCAGCCTCGGCTAACCATAAACACCTGCCTATTTACCTAACATTTTTGGGCAGACAGGGCTTTTTTCAGTGAATTAGAGAAGAGCTGAGTATAAGCTGGGAAATCTGTATCTTTTGTCTCACTGGGAAAAAGATCCTTTTCTCCTCAATCCTCCCAGCCTGGAATATGGCATGTTCTGACCAGCAGATGGCACTGTTTGCAAGGGAACCATAGGCTGGACCTGAGAACGATGCTGAGGAAGAACATGCCTCTTCGGCTAGGCTTGCAGTAGTAGCTCCATGGAATGACTGGGGTGAAGTGTGCACCATCCTAAGTAAAGGAAGGGGACTGAGAGGGCACTGCTACTGATGAAGGAGCAAGTGCCAGCTTTGTACCTGGCCCGGAAGGGACAGACTCTTTTTTGTTACTCAGTTTGCCTTTGCATCCAATCAACATTTATTAAGCAGTGAGGGACACAAGAGATTACCCATGAAAACACGTAACACAGTGTCCATATGTAGCAGGAAATGCTTAATGTATGTGGGTTCCTTGGGTTCCCTATTCCTCACAGTTCTCTCTGACAATCCCTTTCCTATTTGGATGAGAGGCCATTCAAGTTTAATTCTTTGTCCATCCATGGGTATATAAGAAGTTTGTGAGGCTCCTCCACGGACATCAGATAACTCTCTCCTGGGTGGTTCAGCTCAAAGCCATTAAGTTTTGGCCCAGGGAGATGCCCCCTGCTTTGGCTGAAGGGAACCAACCAGGCCTGGGGTGGGGACCAAGACAGAAAGAGGAGAAGAGAGGATGATGGTCCAGAAATCTGTTGGTGATTGCTGGCTCTGCCACTGACCTGGTAGGGACAGGACAGTTGGTAGGTTCCCTCAGACCTCTGCCAGGAGCCTCTAACACAACTGAGCAGGAAGCATTTGCTGAACACCTGTGCTTGGTGCTATGGTGGGATCAGTACTCACACCCTGGCTGGTGAGCAAAGTCCTTCAGGTTTGGCCCTACCCAATCTTTTCTCTCATCACCTGGGGTTTGGGACAATGTACATAAAAGGACTTGGCAAAGTGTGAAGCTCTTTACAAATCTAATAATTATTCTGACTAGTTAAGCTTCTCTACTCTACTAACACCGCCATTTGCGGGTTCATTCTAGATGAGGGTTAAGGTCAGACTGGAGCACATTCTGAATGATGCCAAAGGAGAGGCAGCCAGAAGCCATGTCACACAAAGGTCAGTTTTCTGATCTGTAGAGAAGAGACTCAGGAAGTGTAAGCATGTGGCCCCTCTGGGTGAGGAATCTCCAGAACTGAGGAGAAATGTCCACCTGAAGCATGCTCCAGGCATGCAACCCCTGTACTTCTTGCCTAAACAGCCCTCAATCTGCTTTCAAGGCCTGCACACTCCTCAGAGGGTAGGCTGTGCTGCTGTTGTTCGTACTGCCTAAGTCCCAGGGGATAGGTGTCTATGTAGGTATGGAAAAGCTTGAGTTTCTACCATGAAGCGCCTCAAAGTGAGGGATGGAGTTGAGGGTAGGAAATGAAAAGGAAGCATGCCTAGAATAGCTCACTCGGAACTGCTAGGTTCAGGTACAGAATCCCCAAAAGTCAAGAACTCTAAATTCAGACATGGTCTTCCAGGTTGTCATAAACTTAACAATTTGTTAGCTTCACTTATAAGCTTCAAATATTTAGACATATGATTACGTGGGTCTCCATCTGTTCTCTTGCTCTGCCCTGCACATGTTACAGTCAGGCCTGACAAAGCCTGGGGCACAGTAAGTGCTCAATAAATGTTAGGGAAGAAGCGGTGAGGATAATGTCCCAGAAAGTGGTGAGAAGGGCTAGCTGTGGCCCTGCCTTAAGGCCGGGGGTGGGGGATGGGGGGGGTGTCCTTGGGGGCTGAGGTCCCCAGGCATACTCTTCTAGTCTCTGAACCAAACACATCCCTCCACAGACCAACCATCCCCAACTCAATCTTCCCAATGTAATTCTTTATTGGCTCTTCCAAGCTTCTCCCTAGCTTAGAGTGGGAGCCCTAGAAAATATTGACATCCTATTCAGCAGAAGCTGCTTGACTCGATAAGCTATTCTAACCCCTGGGACAAGCTCCATCTCACAGATTAGCTGTGTAATTGAGAGCAAGGTGCCTGTAGCCCCCAGAGGCCCCATGCTTAGCAATGAACTAAGGAGAGGTGGGTAGAGTCATTGCTCTTGGCGGTGGGAGTAGGGGAAGTGAGAAGGGGAGAGAGAACCAGACTTCTCCTCAGAGACTTCTGCAACATCAGATTGGCAGGGACCTTAGTGAGCATGGAGCTTATATGCCCTCACTTTGAGGAAGAGAGGAGAATGGACTTGTCCAAGATGCCACAGCGAGTAGCAGGCCCAAGAACCCCATGGTTTCTCTGACTCTTAAGTCTAAGGTTCTTATGTTCCATTTTTCCTTTTGGGCTAGTGAGAAACAAGCCCCCAGGAAAGTGAAGAGCTGGGAGGCAACAGACCAGACATACTAGAGAAAACTGAGGACTGGCTCCCAAGTAAGTGCCTTCACCTTTACCTGCTGGAGAAACAACTGCTGCATAAAAGCTGGGCGCTTGAGATAATTAAAACCCACCAGGGACGCAGGCTTTGAAATGCAATTTACAGCTCAAAGAGATGAGCGCCCTTCACCAGTCTACAAGAATAGAGGAAATTTGGCAAAAACAAGTAATTTCTCCCAGTTGAAACATTTCAGAAGGAAGCTACATTTTGGACGACAAGAGCCAAGCCTGAACATGTGGTAAAATGACATGGCTTTGTAAAGGTAGAAAAGCTCTAAAGGGTAACTCCACCCCTGAACTCTGGATAAATGAGACCCCACAGAGGGCCATCACCACAAAAGAACAGCCTCTGATTACTGAGTGCCAAAGATGTGTCAGAGACTTTACATACTTCACCTTACTTAATGCTCCCAACAGCCCTATGAGGAGGTATTTTAGGTAGGGAAGCAGAGGCTCAGAGGCAAAGTAACTAGTTAATAGAGCAAGGCCAAAACTGGAACCCAGGTCTGTTTGACTCCAAAAACCTATCCATAGAGATGCTTTGGGTACTGATTCTCATGGTGAAAATTTGTCACCTTGAACCAGTCACACCCTCTCCTTGGTCCTCCCCTTCCCCTTTTCTACTTCAATGCCTCACATCTGCACAGGATTTTAATGAACGAAGCCAGTTTATATCCTTGATCCTGACATTGTTAGCCCCATTTCATAGTTGAAAAAGCTGAGGATCAGCAAAGATAGGTAACTTACCTTAGGTCATCCAGCTAGTGAAGGGGGTAGCTAGGGGACTTGAATCCAGAATTCTTGTTCTACATTCTACATGCCACTGTCTCAACAACTGTACTAAAGCTCTGATTCTGCCACGTCACCCCTCATGCTCTCCCAATCCTGCCTATCAGGATCAAGTCTAGCCTTCAGCCTAACCTCTGAGGTACTTAGCCATCAGAACACTCACTCCCACAACTCTGTAAATCCTCCCAGGACCAGATCTCTTCTTGAAATGCTCATTTCAAAAGAGGAGCTGCTGCTCTTGGTCCTGATGCCCCCTACAGTGCTATTTAGAGCCTCTGTCTGGGCCAGTCCTGCTGGATACCTCTGGCCTTATTCTCCAGCATAAGGATGGGGGGGGGGGGGGGGGGTGTCACACCAGCCTGCGGCCAGATCTCTGCCCTTAGATAACCCTGGGTACGTCTGGGCAGTTTTGAAAGAAAACAGCTATCAGTCTTGGGGAGGCTATTTCTAGAGAAAGCTAAGCAATCAGACTGATGAGTGCCCAAGGCCTCCTTGGTCCAGAGGCTCCTGCTTACCAGGCAGCCAGGGATAACAGAACATCTATTAATCTCATTAAACTCGCCAGGCCCCAGCTCATTAGCATTGCCCAAACAATCATTACTGGGCAGACAGGACTAATTTCCCAAGGAGTGCTCTTCAGTTCCTGACAATTCCCATTCCCATGAGAAACCCCAGTTCCCAGCACGCTGAACACTGACGGCTCCTGGGATTGGTGAGAGTGTAATGGGTACAGGCTACATGTCCAGGAGGCCTAGTCCTGGCTCTGCTGTTCTTAGTTATGTGACCTGCAACAAGTCATGTAATTTTTCTGAGCCTTATCATCCTTATTCTGAAAACAGAAATCTTTTTCCTGATTACCTTTCCAATCTGATATAAAAATCAAATAAGTGGTCTGGCCTGATGGCATAGTGGTTAAGTTTGTACGCTCTGCTTCAGTGGCCCAGGATTCGTGGGTTCAGATCCCACACACGGATCTACACACCACTCATCAAGCTATGCTGTGGCGGCGTCCTACATACAAAAGTGGAGGAGGACTGGCACAGATGTTAGCTCAGGGACAATCTTCCTCAAGCAAAAGGAGGGAGTGGGCAACGGATATTAGCTCAGGGCCAATCTTCCTCACACACACACAAAAAATCAAATAGGCGAATCGAAATGAAAGCATTCTGCTCCATCTGTAAAATACTATAAAAAAAATATGAGGATTACGCCTATTTTTATTATTACACAACTCCTATCCCTTTCACTCATTCAACAAACATTTCTTGAGTATTCTCCTCTGTGCTGGCACTGTGGAGATAGTGGGAAATAGTGCTCATGGGCCTTGTCCTCTACTTCCTTTTTAAGACAGCCCTCTCTCCAGGAACCTGTTTGTTTCCTAATAACAAAGGAAAAATGCACATGAAATAGTGGAAACAGCGCAGGCTCTGGAATCAGATAGGACTGAGTTCCAATCCCAGCCCGACCACTTATGAGATATAACCTTGGACATGTCTCTCAACCTCACTGGGCCTCAGATTCCTCAAGTACAAATCAGAAATTATACCAACTTCCCAGGATAGGGTAAAGATTAGAGATAGTATGTGTAAAGTGCCCAGTATACTGGCTGGGACCAGTATATTTACATAAGAAAGTCAAATGCCCTAAGACCTATGAAAACAGGTGATTAATCTAGCCTGGCGCTCTATATCCTCCACATCCCAGCCCTAATGTTCTTTACCCATGTTATCTCCCAATGCTCCACACTCCAGCAAAGAATAAGGGAGTCACGGTAGGGGGCTTGTGCATGCTCTCTCCCTTATCCTAGTATCTATAGGAACCAAATCTAGAAACTTCATGAAGTTGCCCCTTCCCCATGCCTGTTAAATCTCTACCACACAGGACTGAGAAAGCAAAGAACGCTGGCTGGGAGGAGTTCCAGGCCTTGCTGGGCCACTGACTCACCCCTCAGCTATAGCATAGGTCTCTGGTCCTATACTGTAACACTGGTATCAGCATCTAGTAGGCCCTGAGGGGAGACTCCAAAGCAGAAACAGAAGGCAGAGCTGAGGCCTCAGTCATCTCTCCCCACAATGTGGTCTGGATATATATATCCCATCTTCCCTACATCTTGTATCTTAACTCTACCCCTGACTGTGGCTAAGGTTAAGGCTTAGCATCTGTGACAAGCAACCCTTATAGTTATGGGGGGAAGGCAACAAGGGGTGGATAGGTATAACCGTGGGCCTACACTCCCCAATACTGAGTTAAAGTTAGGGACCTACAAATGATTGTCAACCTCTTTATTTTTGCCAAAACTAGTCATCCAAACACCCACCTACCAATTCAATCACAATAGATAGCCAAATACCCACTGAGCTAACAATGGGCTAGGTGGTAATTAACAAACGAATCGTTCATTCATTCATCCAGCAACTGGTCTGGGATCTGATCTCAAGGAACTCCAGTCCAGCAGGGGACATCCACCATGGCCACAAAGCACACATGCCCTGGCTGGAGTCTGCTGCCCCAGAAGCAGCCCAAGCAAAGCAGTCTGGGATATCAGAGAAGGGGTAGGAGCATCACAGAAGGCTCTAGAAAAAGAGTGTGTGTATAAGATGAATTCCCACTGGGTATTGGGACATGGGGAGAGGCTACACCTGGCAAGAACAATGTACAAAACATGCTGCTTTCTCCTCTTTGCTCCCCCTATTCTGCCCTTCCTCTTGCATATACAGGGCAAGGCTGGAAATAAAAGTCTGAAATAGGAGAATTTCTTCAGTGCTGTCTCCTCTTTCCTTGATAGTTGCATACAATTCTTGTCATGAAGGGGACAAAAGGGGAACACACAATTTAATTTTCGGCAACTTTATACCAGGGACTGTGTTGGAAGCTATATATGCATAATCTCTCATAATCCTGATCATAATCTACTGAAATAAGTAGAAGTATCATCTTCACTCTACAGATGAAGAAACTGAAGCTCAGAGAAAGCTTAAATAATTTGTCCATTAAGCAGCATAATCAGGATAAAAAGACCTCAAGTTTGTCTGGTTCTAAAGCCTGTGCTCTTCCCACTCCACTAGATTCCTCCCACTGACACTCCCTCCCCCATGGGAAGACTGGGCCTGACTTTGCTGCTGATGTGCCACATGAACTTGGGTTTTGGAGCACGTGACCACAAAGGGCCCTTCCAGGGTTAATCATGCGACCATCATTACCAACAACTACTGAGCACTTATTACATACCAGGAACTGCTGTAAGTCTTTTGCTATGAGGTGGGTGATGGTATGTATTGTGTCCATTTCACAGATAGGAGACTAAGGGTTGGAACTCAGTCCTACACAAGCCAGGAAATGGCAGAGCTGGGACCAGTCTGGATGAGACCAGAGCTGGTGCTCTTAACTTTGGCCCAGAATGACTTCGTGATAAGAGTGCCCTGTACCTGCCAGGAGCGCAGCTTCTAACACTTTCTGATCCTTTGGGCATAAACTCCTGGCGCCTTGCTGAGGGCATACTCTCAAGTCTGAGAGCCAATAGGCACATCCTGTGAGCCTAAGGGAAGCCTCCTCCCCCTTCCCACACCTTAAGGGGCCGGCTCCTCACAGTGATAATGTAGCAAGATTAGTCACTGCTTGCTGTCGGTTGATTATAGCTATTCTTTTCTGTAAATGAAGTTTAAAAGTCATCAAAGGGTTTGTCAGCTGTGACTTATGAGCCTCTTTTCCACAGGGAAGTCAGGCAGTGACAAATGCCCCTCTCGCTCTGCCATCCATTACAAGTTGGAAGGTGCCATGTTCCAATTACTAGAGACCCCAGTGGAGCTCATGGAAAACCCTGCTCCAGGCTGCAGCCATTACTCAGGCCCGGCAGGGCTGCCAGCAGAGCTGCCCAAGGCCCAGGCCCCACTGGGTAAGAGCATGGAGTAACAGCATGTTTCTGACTCCGTAAGCCAGCCCCTTCCATTCCTTATTTGTGTTATCCCTGGCGGGTCTATCCTAGACACATTTCCCAACTGAGTAAAAACATGGGCACCCTGTGGGCTGCCTCAAACTACCCAGGATCAAGACTGCCTAACACAAACAGATATGAGGAACATAAGGTTATGCTACCAGGTGGCGTAAGTGGGGAATATGATGCTCAGGAGGAAGGGAAGAGTATAAACAACCTATGATGTTCAGAGAAAGTAGAGACTGGGATTGGCCCCGTGGCCGAGTGGTTAAGTTCACATGCTCTGCTGCGGTGGCCCAGGGTTTCACTGGTTCGGATCCTGGGCAAGGACATGGCACCGCTCATCAGGCCACGCTGAGGGGGCGTCCCACATGCCACAACTAGAAGAACCCACAACTAAAATATACAACTGTGTACTGGGGAGATTTGGGGAGAGAAAGCAGGAAAAAAAAAAAAGAAAGTAGACATCATCTAGTGTAATCAATTGCCTCAGTACTCAATAACCATTATAATGCCAAGCCCTGTCCAGCTAAATGCTGGGGAACCAAAGACAAATAAAACATAGTGCCACTCAGGGTAGACTGGATAATTAAGGTCTAAAAAGAAGTGACTTGCCCAAGGTCACAAAAATAAGTTAGGGTCAGTGACGGATTGAGAAAGCAGGTCTCCAGACCTCTAGCGAAGTAGAGAAAGTGGAATGACAGGGAGCCGTCCCGTGTGCCAGGCTCTTTATGCAGAACATGACATAGTTAAGTGTGCCAGCTCCCATTCAAATCCCCCCTGCACACTTACTACAGGTTTGACTTCTGGCAAATCCCCTAATCTATCCAAGCCTTAGAAAAATGGAAATGATAAAATTTATTTCAGAATTGTGGTGAGGATTAAATAAGATAATACAAGTACAACGCACAATGCAGGCATATATTAAGCATCCCAAAATATTATTTCTCATCAAGTAATTCCCAAAACAATTCGAGGCAGGTATTATTAACCTCATTTTACAGACAAGAAGACTGCAGCTTTTTCTCACTCTGTCACATTAAATAAGCCAGTACTTCTCAAAACTATTTGTGGTGAAGGACTAGCTTTTTGTTGGTTTTACTTTCAAGGCATTAAGGATAAATACTTTGCAAAATATAATAAAAACGTCCAATTACTCTAAAGGTTTCTAAGCACTTACTCTCAATTTCTATGCTTAACACAAACTAGCAACAGTTTGCGAAATGTCATTGATTCAGTGGACTACACTTAGAGTAGAACAGTTCTAAGTCACTCTCACCCATCCCTGCCAACCTCTATAAAAAGGAAAGCAAACAAGGAATAGAGTTTATTTAATTTCTTTCAAGTCCTTTAGCCTGATTTCTTTTAGACTTTGGTGTTAGACTAATTTGCAAAAACTATCCTAATCTTTTTCCTTTTTGCTTTTCTCAAGAGAGAGAAGGGTAAGCAGGCCAAGGATGAGTTCAAGGATTTTCCACCAAACACTTTAGGAGGTGATTTATCTTGGTAACATGCTCTAGGTCATGCTATATCCTGCAAGGGAAGATGATCTAGGCTTAAAGGGGACTGAACAACCTTCCTGAGGCCTGAGGGTCTGAGAGGAAGGTATACTCCTGAAGAGAGTAATACTCTTGGACTCTCTCTCCCCACACCAGAAGACATGAGGAAACCAGCCAGGAAGAGGAGGCATGCTGTAAATTTTCTTTTTGATATTTCTGATTTTCAGTCTTGTATCATGGCTATTTACACAGCAGTCTTCTCTCTCCCTGTAGGGAGTTTCTTGAGAGCAAGATGGACATCACATTCATTTCTGAATGCCACCATACACCCAAGAGTATGATTGGCTGGGGGAGACGAGCAGCTCTTAATCAGTGTGCCAAGACACAACAGTGTATCTTGAATCTTCCAGGTGCATGGCCAAATTTTCATCAGTGTACAAAACTTCTTTTTGTTCTAACTGAGCTTACATGGTGCTATCTTTCAGCACAACCAGAGCTGAGTGGGTCATATGACACAGTGTAGAGAGGAGTACAACCTGCTGTTGTGATTAGTGGCCTTCCATCAAGCAGGCGCCAAAGCCTGAATGTTTATTTCCATGTGAGAGGCCATGTAATATGGTCAAGAGAGTAACCACTGAAACTAAAATGCCTTCCGCTCTGCCACTGAACTAGCTATATGACATAACCTTCGGGAAGTGTCTTAAGTTCTTTATGCTTCAGTTATCTCACCTGTAAAACGGCAATAGCAATACATATCTCTAGGGTTGCTGGAGGATAAAATAACTTAATTCATTTAAATATTTAGAACAATGTCTGACACATTAGAAAGTATGCAAATATTAGCTACTGCTGCTATTATTATTGTTATTGTTTGAACCTGCAAGAACCTTACCTTGTGAGTATGAAAGGGAAGGTGGTGAGTTTATGCAACATTACCCTAGAGCTGAATTGTGATCAAGGAAAGAATACTGTGCGTACAATGAAGTCTCTTCAAGTGTGTCACCAAAATTCTAGTATTTGGAAATGTGCCCTGAACATAAAAGGAATCACAGGAGTAGGTACTCATTAAGTGTTGAATGAATACATAAGTGAGTATCTCGAGTTAAGCGGCCCCCAAAGAATACAACTTGACAAAGGGGTCAGGAAGATGCCCTTAAGTGAAGGCTCCCAGAAAGGCCTCTTTGTACCTTGAGGACCCAGAAGGCAGGTTGGGCTCCCCTTCTGAGCTTGGGGCCTCAAGGGCTAATATTCCAAGAAACTTCTGCTTGCTCACTATTCTGTCTCTCTGATGGAACCCCCACGTTCTGTGGCTACTCTATTCTGAATAAGGCTGCAGAAGGCTGTGCCATGGTAGAGTACACATTCCCATTTTCTCTATTAGATGAAGTGACGGACTCTCCGAGGAACACAGAGCGGGAGGCCTAAACTCTCCCATAACAGGCCTCGTCCTAAGTTAAAACACTAATAAGGGGATTATCAGCTTTGGATTCCTGCTTGCCTGTGGAGCCCTGGGTCCTGAATCCCACCTCTATTAACTGTACGTACTTGGGAAGGCACTTCACTTCTCTGAGGTTCAAGGTTTCCCATCTGTGAAATGGGGATGAAAATCCCTGCCCTGCCCACTTGCAGTGCAGGTTGTTGTGAGGGTCAAAAGAGACAGCATATACAAGTATACTGTTACCTGAGATGTGCTATGTAACTGTGGACAGGAATATTCCCTGGGGTGGACACCTGCTACAGGTCTTCCTAGACAGAGGCACCCAGGCAGGAAGCCAGTCGTCCGGAAGGAGGTGGATGGTGCATAACTTGGGACTGCAGTCAAGCACTATGCCCCTCAGGTATAAGGCAATTGATTAAAATCCTTTCATGTGAAATCAGTATTTTCCTCATTACAACAATCCTTCTTGAAAACACCGAATGCCACCTCTCACAGCCCCACAAAAGCTTGATCCTGCAGACAGCATATATACGTATTTTTTAAAAATTTCTCACAGTCAGACAAAAGAAGGTAAGAAAGTCGACCTCTCTCCAGGGTACTGATCTAAATATAACTTAGGGCTCTAAGCATCATCCCACAGTGCCCTATGTTTGGCCCAAAGGGGACCACTGAGAATGACGCCATAGTCATAGCTACTCTGCCTTTGTCGTCCTGGTAACAATGTTAACTCCACAAACATTACTAAGCATCTGCCTCTTCACTATCGAGCCAAGTGTAAGTGTGCTACCTCCTGTTTAAGACCCTTCAATGGCTTCTTCCTACCACCAAAAACCAAGTCCAACTCCTTTAATGTGGCTCACAAGCCGCTTCAAGAGTTAAGGCTACCAAATCCTTACACAACAATCCTCTGAGGGGCTATAAGTCACACTCACTTTACAGATGAGTAAACCCTAGTGCAGAGAGGCAGTCAGTTGACCAAGGTCACACAGTGAGCAAGTTAGTATGAACTGGGTTCTTCCTGAAGGGCTGGGAATCAGACTCCAAAGTATAGACTTAAGTTCAAAACAACCTTTTCTTGGACTAGTCTATACAAGGCAGGTATGGGGATGGAGCATTGTATGGCTCAGGGAGCTGCTTAGACACTGTCCCTTGTTGGAGACTGCCAATCTGACCTCTCTCACTCCCAGAGCTGCAGCATCATTAACAAACTTGGCATAATGACCAAAATTTTCATTTGCATGTAACATGGTACACGTTCGCATATCTAAGTTCAAGAGACCCTCTACCACAAGCAACCAAAAATCCAGTACAACTTGGCAAAAAACTAGTCAGCCCCCAAGACAACTAGCATACACATCCAATACTAATGAGCTTCTAAACTAGTCAATTCAACTGATCATGACAGAAGCAGCTGTGGTATCTACAGTCTTTTCCCTGTGATCATCTTGGAAGAAATTAACTCCTTCTGGTCCCCTTACCCCTCAAAAAAAAAAAAAAAAAAGACACCACACTAAACAAGTTTCTACACTGCAGTAGATGGTAAAAAAAAAAAAAAAAAAGAAAAAAAAGAAAGAAAGAAAGAAAGAAAAAAAAAGTTTTCCCAAAGCTTTAATAGATGTCTCAGCTACAGGAGCAAGAGCACGGGCTTTGGACAGAGACAGACCAGGGTTTAAACCCAGGATCAATTGCTTACTTACTAGGTGTGTGACCTTGGACAAGTCCTTAAATTTCCTAAGCCAGTGTTCACTACTAGGCATATACTTCTTCCCCCCACATACTGAGTCATTCCCTGATTCACATACTGAACCAAGCCCTGCTGATTTGGCCTCCTAAATATTTTCAGAAGGTAGCCCTGTCTCTCCATTCTTAATATCACTCTTCAAATTCATCCTGCACACAGCCACTAGAATAGTATCACCGCATCACTCCTTTGCTTAAAACTGAAATTAACGTTTTTCCTTCATTATTTCAAAATTCTTAGCCAATAATTTGAGTATTTGTACTATTTAGTGTGTCTATTTTTTTAAATTACCATAAGAAATCACCTAAACCCCCCACTCTTCTATAGAACATAACTACTGTTGGCATCTTTGTCTATTTCTTTGCAGGGCTTTTTTCTTTGGCATTATATTTGGATTATGTAGTTAGATCATTCACTCAATCCTGTAACAATTTTTTTCAATTAACATTATAACATATTATATGTTATAACATATTTGTCCTTATTGCTGCACAGTTTTAAATCATCATTTTTTATAACTACAAATTTTAATATCTCATAGTTTTCCCGAGTGGATTCATCATAGTTTAGCTTGGTCATAGTTTAGGTGGTCATTTAGGCTTTTTCTGACTACTCACTACTATAAATAATAGCATCTGAGGGAAAGTTTATTCTATATATTGGATTATTTCCTTAGGACAGATTCCCAGAAGTGGAATTACTGTGTCAAAGTGTATAACATTTTTATGGCTCTGGAGATACACTGCCTAAGTGCTTTCCAAAAGTGCTGTACCAATTTACACTGCTATCACCAATGACTGCTGCTTTCATGGCAACCTCACCAGAATCGAGTATCATCATAATGTGTGTGTATAGGGGTGGGGGTGTTAATCAGTAGAGGAAACCCAAATCCTCACTGTTGTTTTCATATATATGTGAAGATAATAGTCTCCTGTGTTTGTTTACTCGTTTTTGAGTCTACAGAGTTTTGATGCCACAAAGAAGTTATTGTAGGTTCCTAGGCAGAAGAAAAACATGCTGAAAAATTTATTTACTCATTTATCAAAAAATCATTTCTTTAAAAAAAGTCATTTATTGAGCACCTATTACTGTCACTGTACAAAGTATAGAAGAGAACAAAGTACAATCCCTGACCCAGAGGAATTCACAATCCAGTGGTGGAGATCTCAGGAAAACCAGAATCTATGTTTCATCTTGATAAGGGCTATGACAGGAACACTTGGGAACTCAGAGGCATGTCACTTAGCAGAGAGAAAGGAGAGGAGGGACTCAGAGAAGAGGCGTCATCAAGAAGTTCTGATCTTGTCCAGAGGAATGAATTGAAGTTAGCCCACACACAGATGAGAGACAGAACATTTAGGAAAGAGGAAAGTTGCAGAAGCTGAACAGAGCTTCCGTATTTAAAGAATAACCGTTATGTACTGTGGTTTGGCTGGAGTGTAGGCTGTAAGACTGCATGTTGCAGGAGATGACGGCAGAGAGACTGGCAGAGGACAGATCAGAAAGAGCCTTGTGAGCCACTGAAGAGCCTGGACTTCACGGGAGTCATGACCCACTCCTATGCCATATGCAGGACAGTGCTCAGTAAGGAGGCAGTCACAAGTCCCTATAGCTCTTAGAGACTGAACCATACAAGTCAACCCCTGATCAGAGCATCTTGTCTGTGCTGACTTCTTTTTGTCTATGTGTTAGTATTCTCTCACTAAGCAGCAGCGAACTTTCAGGGTATTTTTTACATCACCTGGCACATTGCTAGGCACATGGCAGGAGTTCCAATAACACTCATGGATCAGTTGGTGGTACCTCATGCAATAATTCACACATTCACAAAGTCCCTGCTGCCCTGGCAAGGCCCCTACCAATCTCAACAGATGCTCAGTCACTGCCTCTCTTGGCAGATGTCCTGCCTCAGAGAGCTACCTCCCCCTTCTTGCTCATTCTGCCAATAAAAAAAATGTGCCTAGGTACAATAAGCTATAAAGTATGTGATAACCAGGGAGCACATTGGGTGGCCAGAGGGGAGGCTTGAGGGACATAAATCCTTCTCCACAGTACATCCCTCAAGCCAAGGACTCCCTCAGCCCTATCAGCAATTTAGGAACGCCACCACCTTCCCCCCATAAAAATAAAATAGGGTTTTCCAATTGAGCATGTTAAAAGTCTCCTTTGAGTAGCTACTGACCTTCTCTAAGGTATTACTACTTCCTACATTAACAACAGCTGCTTTAATGATGACAAGGATATTAATAGGGTGATTATTTCAACAATTAATAGCAAGTCATTCTTGCCCTGCTAGTTGCAGTACGAGCCGTGGGCAGTGGGATCTGATGTACTGCCTAAGATCCATCTGAGGAGACTGTATTAAAATGATCTGTTTCTGTGCTATCTCCCCTCCTAGACTGACTGTGAATTCTTGGATGGCAGGGACCACAGCCTATTTCAGCACAACATCGCCCCCTGCCTTTCAGGATAGGCCCTGTCCCAGAGTGGGTACTCACTCACGGAGTATGTGCTAAACTGAACTCCATGTACCACTGCCCCTGTCCCCATCCAAGCTTTTTAAGAAACAAAAAAGCAGGCTGTACAGATAACAAAGCCAGGACAGACTTGGGAGAGACAGGAAGGAGGCATCCGTACAGGGCAGTCCAATCCACCTCAGCCTTTAGGAAAGGCTGTTTTGTAATATAATAAATTATCATTATGATTTATTAATTGCTTATTATGTGGTAGATGCATTGCTAAGTATATTACTTCTCATTCTTACAACTTCTCTTTGAGGTAAAAATTATATCAAGGTCACAATGGCCCTTTCTGAGGCCGTTTTAGGAGAATGACTCAGTGTCGGACTATCTGGGTTCAAATCCCAGCTTTGCCATGTATTAGCTGTATGATCCTGGGTAAATGACTTACCCTCTCTGTGCCTTAGTTTTCTCATTTTACAAATGAGAATAATATTACAGTACCTTCCCCATAAGGTTGTTGTGAGAATTCAATAAGATAATGCACCAGCAAGTTAAGCATTCAGGAATTTTCTAAATGAAAATACTATTACTATTGGCCCCATTTAACAGATGGCTCCAAATATCACACTCTTAACATTAAGTTAAGGTTAAGAGAGAGACTGCTTCATCAATAAAGCAGGACCAGAATCAATTTCTGATTTGGTGATGAAGGCTGGGGCCACAAGGAGCTTTCTGAGCACAAATCCATTGATGTGATGCCCCTGATGGAAACTCTTCAGGAAAGCCTTTGTTTCCCATCCCCCAGGCATATTCAGTCACTCGCTCCTCTGGACCCTGCTTATGTTCTATAGACCTCTGCCACAGCAACATTTGCTGCATTTTTGTATTCACATATCTGTCTCTCTCCATTAGACTCTGAACTCCTTAAAGGCAGAGACTCTTATTAATCTTTGTGATCCCAGCCTCCAGCAATGCCGTGGCAACCGGCAGATGCTCAGTGAATTTCTGCTAACAAACAGGTAAAAGAATCCTAGGTGGGCGCTGTGTCACACATTGCTTAACAATGGGGATATGTTCTGAGAAATGCATCATGAGGCCATTTCATTGTTGTGCAGACATCATAAGGTGTACTTACACAAATCTAGATGGTATAGCCTACTACACACTGAGGCCATATAGTACTAATCTTATGAGACCATCGTTGTATATGCGGTCCGTCATTGACCAAAATGTCCATTATACAGCACATGACTGTAAGTGGTTTCCTAGTATTTCTGACGTGGCAACGCCTTAAAAGTGAACTGCATAGTTGGTGTTCATAAGATGAGCCCAAGTTCCTCACCCTTCAGTAGGGCAGAAGGACAGGCAAGACAGTGATGAGAGAGAAAAGAGGGCCAGAGTACAAAGCTAGGGACCACTGGTATCTGTGGTTCAGTAGCTCCTACAGGGAGCAGAGGCTCAAAAGAGGTTCAACCTGCAGCCCAGAGATTGCTGAATCTGGGCTTTCTGTAGTGGAGAATATGTAAGAGGTCTTCACCAAGCAGAGAGCAGCAAAGGCTAGAAACACCGCGATCCTTGTCAGCAATCAACAAAGTGAGTGAGACTCAGCCCTCCTTCTCTGAATTATATGGTGACGCTGAGCAATGGGCCCCACCATGCAGGCTTAATGCAAAGAACACTGGAGTGTTCAAAGACCTGAAGTTCATTCCTGGGAATGTACTAACGTTTCAATTAATAAATATTTCTTGGGCATCTACTCTATTTCAGGCTTGCACTAGGCACCTGTAACACAACAATGAACATATCACTAATTTGCTGTTGGACTTCTCTGAGCCTTAGTATCCTCATATGACATGGGAGATAACCACTGTGTCACAGAATTCTTTTGAGTATCAGATGTGTTTTCAAAAGTCTACTATACAACTTTGCTAACATAAAGGTTATAATTTTACTGGATCTGAACTAGAAGGCTTAGTAAATGCAAGGATACCCCCACCAAATGCCAAGGACAACTCCCTCTGGGTCTGGATAGAAATCCAGCAGCACATTCCTACACACTGAATTCCATGGTGGAGATAGCAAAGGAAGAGCAGAAATTTGACATATTCTCTTCAAACCCCTCTCAGGATCTTTTCCATAGTTACTGGTGTCAGAATGTTCATCATTGGGAATTGCACTGAGGGCCTCTTGGATGAGCCCCCAAATACAACTGAAACTTCTCAAACCAAGAACAGATTTAAAGACTCTTTGGATTACAGGCACCTTTCCATACACTGAGCTAATTACCCGACCCTTGGTCCTTCAGCTGTTGAGAAACATTTGGTGGTCATTAAGCCTGTTGTTTCCTCATTTTCCTGCTTACTAGGATAAACACATCAAAATGGAAAGCTTGACGCTCTGACAATGCTCTCTGATTAGTGGTTTGCAGAATCCTCCCTCTGTAATTTTATGATTTGCCAGCTAGAAGAGGAAGAATGGTGGAATGCAAATAGCGGTGTGGCCCAAGAGGGAGTCGGGCACCCTGAACTTTAAACTTGGTTCTACCATGGATTAGCTCAGTAAATTTGGTTACAGACCTTAGTTGCCTCATCCAGAAAACGGAGAAACTAGATCAGATCAGTGTTGCAGGAACTCTTCTGTGGAAGACCTGTGTTCCTCAAGACGTTAACGAGAGTTCCTCAGAAAGGGGGCTCCAAGGTCAAATAAAAATAGGAAACTCCGCATACTCCATTCCCCCCTCCCATCCCCAAGAATGACATGCACACTAAGGCTCTGAGGAGTCAGCAGTAAAGAAATGTAATTCGCATTATGCGATCTGACTTTTCCCAGATTATTAACATCTGTTCTGAGGAAGACATACTAGAACAGACCTCTAGAGTCCCTATCAGCTCTAAGCCCCTGTGATTTGTATCAGAAGTACCCAGAGGCAGGTGCCTGGAGCATCCCTGCTTCCCTCTAATCCAGTTGTCTTAACCCAGTGAGGCACTTAAATGATACTCTGGTAAATAGGAATTTATAACACGTAGTTTACTTTATTGTAGTGAGTACTAATTTTCAAAGGCTCAAAATACAAGATACTTAAAACAAGGAGATGGGAACCTGTAGTTACTGAGCTCCTAATACCTATTCTTTACTGTGCCGGCACTTCCCATACATTATATATCATTTAATCCTTAGACAACCATAAGACGTAAACATTGTTTCCTCCTATTACAGAGAAGGAAACCGAGGCTTGGAGAGGTTAAGTAACTTGCCCAAGGTTATGCAGCCACAAACTGGTGAGCACCAGATTTCAAACCCAGGATTACTTGTCTCACAACTTTCAGTTCTGACTGGGGCACTGTCACCCTGATTATCAGATAGTCACTAACCTTCCCTGGTCTCAATTGTCAAGTAGGAATAATAATCCTTGCATTGCTTCCCTCACAGAGCTGCTCCAAGACTCAAAGGCAATAACAGGTATGAAAAGGCTCTACAATGTATAAAGATATGAATATGAGAGACAACTGAAACCTTGTAAATAAATGTTGATATCTCCTTTTATGATTTATAAGATACTTAAGGTTCCTGCGGGCTTCCCATCATGGAAGTCAATTGTCCTTATCCCACTCACCTCCCTAAACAGTGCTCCTTAAAATTTTCCAGGTAGGATTTTGGATAAACAGGAACATGTCAATTTCTCAGTATTGATTACTCTTCAGACTGTCTGTCTCACTAAGCAGCGAATCTGCTTAAAGGAGTCGGAAGTAAAAACAGCAGAGTGGGCAGGAGCCTGGTGAGAGGCCTATAGATAGAACAGAGGCCAGATTGGCTGTGGGGCTAGATTCTCTAACCTTACCTTGGAACATGTCTGGGAAATTGGTCTAAAGGGTCATTTGGGACAGCAGATCATAGAAGCCTTTGTATGAAATCCATCTAGGAGACCAACAAGTATGTGTAGGGTGGGAGGAAGGGAAGGACAAGGGGAGGTGATGGGAGTCGAGTTGGCCAGCTTCACTTTTTCTGGGATGGAAAATACCTTGGCAGGGACCTAGGCATAGAAACAGCAGTAGATGGCTACAGGGCTCTCAAATCATCTTCCAGCCGTGCCTGGGATCACACCCTCATGATCCACATTGCTGTGGCCATCTGCTCCCTCCAGCTTCTGGCAGACTAAGTCCAAAAACAACAGCAAAGCATTCTTGGAACCAGGCCCTAGCAGGGGACAGAGAAATAAATAAGAAAAGTTCCTACTCTTAAGGAAGGCACTGCACCAAGATGGTCTGAGCCTAACCAGAGACTCTCTTGTACAGAAAAGTCTCTGGCTGATAAGGTATATTCAAGAATTGTGTGAACTGGTAAAGGGCACATTTTATATGGTGACTGACAAATAATAATGCACAACTGAAATTTCACAATGTTATAAACTATTGTGACCTCAATAAAATAAAAAACAATAAATAAAAAAGAATCGCATAAATGAATCAAAGGAGCCTACATTCTATGACTTAGGAGCACCTGTTTGGTGTCAGAAGCCCTGGATTCCAGCCCTCATTCTGGCATGAATAATTCAGCGACTGAGAAAATTACTTAACTTCTGTAGACCTCAGTTTACTCACTTGTAAAGCAACCTCTGTCTACCCTGCAAGTTGCTATGTGTAGCCAATGAGAGAACGGTTGAGACGGTACTCTGTAAATGGCATGAGATGGAATAGTAGGAGCTGATGGAACACTGGGGCACATGGTCTTAAAAGTTCAGAGCCCAGTCTGGGGAAGCCTTAAAAGAAGCTCCCTTTCTTTCTCCCCAGCCAACTTATGTCTGCTTTTCTCACATTGGAGATGTTCTTTGCATTTTCAGTGAAGCGAGAAGGAAATTTGCCAGTCAAGTTGGGGACGGAAACATTGCCATCTTTCGACTTTTCAAAGTTTATTTGAAACTTTACTGTACTGCAAAAGACAGCACAAGATTTGGATTTATAATCCTAGCTTTTGTTAATCGAAAGCTATAAGACTATGAACAAGCCTTAACCTGAGTCTTAGTTTCCTAATCTGTAAATTGGGGAGAATTTTCTTAAGCCATAATATTGTGGTGAAGATTCAACTAATTAATAATGGAAAAGTGTTTTGTAACCCACAAAATGCTGCACAAATACCAGTCATTACAAAGCTGTCTTCCCATCAGCTCATGAGCTACACGGGACAGTGGTTATCACCACCTGACAGGTGAGTGATCAAAGTTTAGAGAAAATACAAATGGTAACACACAGTTCAACTCTACTTCCTCCAGCAGAGGTAATTATTCCTTTGATTTATTATAGGAGTTGTTCATTAGTCTGTTTGCCTCATTAAAATGACAGATCTCTGAGGGAGGGAACTACATGCATCTTATGCCTTTTTCTACCCCAATTCTCAACATGGCACACCTAAAAGATGTTAAATAAGTATTATCTGAATGATGATCAACATATTGGTAGCAGAAACACATCTAGAACCCAGGACTCCTAATACCAGGTCTAGGATTCTTATAACCATAAAGTGGCCAAAACCTCATAGATTTGACTCATCTTAACTTCTCATCTCTTCCCTCCACTCTAGCAAGACTCAACTTTCCATTCCTGGAAAGTCTCTGGGCCTTTATAGGCACTGATCTCTCAGCCTTGAACACTCCTCATCTTCTTTGCTGAGCTAATTCCTATTCACCTCTCTGTCTTGGAGGCCTTTCTAATTTCCCCTAATACTGGGTCAGGTAGTCTCTCTCCCCTCATCTCTGTTTTGTTTATCGCAGAATCCTAGCACACAGAATGTGTCAAAAGTATCTGTCGACAGTTGAATGAATGAAACATTGAAGCTAGAAATCCAAAGGTGATGCAGGGGAAGATTCCTGGCCTGGAAGTTAGGAGGCCTGATTCCAATTTCAGTCCTACCACTACTGTGTGTGGTGATCTTGGGCAAGCCCCAGTCCTTCTGTGGACCATCCATAACTGAGTTATCATCTACGAATGATCTCAAAAGGTCCTTTCAGTACTGACAATATATGAGACTTAGACTCATGCTAAGTGCTACATGTGAAGAACTTCTGAAGCCAGCTATGTGCTCCACAGTATGGGAGGCTCAGCATCCCCACCCCATGAGTAGCACCAGGCACACTGGACTCTGCTGTCAGCAGCCTCCCACACCATTGGTTTACTTAATTTCTCCTGATGAAGTGCCAAGAATAAATCGTAGGTGAGCAGCAGAGCATTTTAATGAGTCCAGAGCCTAATGAATCTTTTCCTTCCTGTGTCAATTAGAATTTCAAAGCTAGGATCCCCAAGGACCAATTTATTGGGAACAGACAGAAGCCTTTTGTTCATCAGCTGCTACCTGCCCTGGCCCTGTATGTCTGCTATGTAACAATCCTGCTTACTCAGATATGCCACCTGGTGAGATAGAGACTGGCCTGGGAAGCTCCTTCTTACCCAACATTTCTGAGGCCTGACCTTAAAGAATGAGAGGAGGGGGTCCAGAGCATTTTTAAGAGGGGTGGGGAGGTGGTAAGAGAATTAGCAGCCTTGACTTTATTGCTACTTCCTAAGGATACTGGTGTTCAAAGAGCTAATAGCAACAGATCAACTTGCCATTCACCCAACTAAGTCTTGGGTATTGTGTGACACCTATTTACCTAAGATACTTTGAATTCTCACAACCACCCCAATAGCAGGTATTAACAACATTATTTTACAGACAGAGAAACTGAGGCTCTGAGAGATAAAGTAAGAATTAGCCTAAAGAACACAATTAGTGGGGCTGGCCCCATGGCCGAGTGGTTAAGTTTGCGCACTCTGCTGCAGGCGGCCCAGTGTTTCGTGGGTTCGAATCCTGGGCGCGGACATGGCACTGCTCATCAAACCACGCTGAGGCAGCGTCCCAGATGCCACAACTAGAAGGACCCACAATGAAGAATGTACAACTATGTACTGGGGGGCTTTGGGGAGAAAAAGGAAAAAATAAAATCTTTAAAAAAAAAAACAAAACACAATTAGTAATTGGCAGGCAAAGATCTGAACTCATATCTGTGCAATTCCAGAGACTGGGATCTTCCTATAAAACCACAGCAGCCTTGTCCAGGTGCTGACACAGGGCCAGGAGCTGATGTCCTAAATGGCAGAGATGGTTGTGGGCAGCCACAACCATGCTGGACATTTGCCACCAACACACTGTCTTTTGTCCAGGTACAAGCAAGGGTGGCTGTACACTCCTGATCCTTCCATTCAATGGAGTTGGCAAGCCCCTTATCCCCAGAACATAATGCAAATAAAATCACCATTAACACTACCCCCAGGATCTTACCCCAGAAATCTTTTCATTTGTTTGATTCATGAGGAGTTGCCAATCCTTAATCTAATGGCTCCCAGGTGCCCAGTTCTCTGTCTCCTATCTTGTCCTCTCCAAGTCACACAGGGCCAGCCCAGCAGCTGCTACTGTCACCAACAGAGGCACATTTTCCACGGTGAGCAGGTAAGCAAGTCAAGTTTCCCAACAGTTCTGGGATGGAATTTTAGGGGTCTGATGAGAAAAACACTTAAGGGTGAAGGTCAAGAGGCCTGTCCAA